AGGAGTTATGTACTATGGTGTACACTTGACCAACATAGTCTGTTCAAGACAAAATATTTCATAGCATAGATGTGTTAGACTGTCATGTGTAAGTTAGCTAAAAATAGATATTTTTTGCAACATATATCAAACAGGAAAAGAAGTCATAGAAACTTAATCAAGCATATTTACTTACACGGTGCATATTGCTTGAGTTGAGGGAGAAAAGCAGATTCGAATTAAGATCAGTACTGCATTTTGGGAAATGCTGTGCAAGGAGAGAAATGTTGTAGGAGTGCTGAGTGAATTTTGTTTAGTGTGGTGCAACATTTCATCAAGCAAATCAGGTGAGAAGGGACAAGTATAAATGCACCTATTTATGTAGGTAATTTCTCTGTTTCATGCCTCCAATTCATCTCTCTGCCTTGCTTTGGGAGTCATGCTACCTCGGTTACAATTAATTTCAGTGCTGCATATTAGCCCTAAAGAGATATTTCATAAATTGACTTGATGTATTTTTTCCCCCTCTGTGGTTTTCTTGAAAGATGAGAACGGTCCAGAGGAAAAACAAAGTACAGAAGAAATGGAAGGGCAGAGCCAAGAAGCAGGTGGGCTCAGATTTCTTTTGAGAAGTCTCCTAGGCCTCATCCACAGAGGTGAACAATAACTTTACTCAAATGTTTTTTTCTAGACATGTTATAGCTTTTCACCCGGTTGACTGCAGTACTCATTTAGGTGTCCCTCAGGAAGCCACCAATCCCACTGGAAGACAACGCTTCCAGTCATAAGGGTGCATTCTCATTCCTTATTCACTAATTCCATTTTTCTTCTGTGTAACAACACTTTGCTTAGAAATGCTCTAAGAACAATGCGCAGAGGTTGGAAATACCAACTCAGAGCTTGGCTACCTCAGGACAGGTCAAAATTAGCAGATTTAGTTTGGGGGAAAAAAATAAAAAGAAAAAGGTTTAAAGTAAATAAATTAGAGGCTTTCCCTCCATGAGGAGTAGAATGTTCTTTACTACTTTGCATTGAACTTTGGAAGAGCCGTGTTTCTGGTTGTTTCTTTATGTGTGGTAGGAGACAGTGTCATGGAAACTGGTTACCTCACAACCAGACCTAAAGTGAAATCCAAAGCCTTCCTGACATCTCCTCTGTTCCCTAAGAACAGATGTGTTCATTGGATGTTTATAGATTCTCTACTGTAGATTCTGAGTGGAATAGCTTTAAGTGAAGTAGCAGTTAAGACTCAGAAGAGTCTTTAGCTTCTCATCTCTTCTTACCCATTTGTAAACGTGTCCTCAGGCACCCTCTCCTTTAAAAGGCCGATAGGCACAGTTATGCTGTTATCAACACCACCACCCAAATCAAAATATCCTTCTTTCCTTTAGTCTCCAAGTCCTAATGAGCCCCACAGAGGGGCGTTTTTGAAACAATGGGCTCCGTATGATGTGTGCCAGTCACGTCCTGGGCAATATGCTGAGCTCTTGGAAATCAACCAGGTAGTGTGATAAGTTTTTCACTGAAAACTTCCTACATTATCCTTGGAACTTTTGCTAGAGAACTGGAATCTTTTATTATTAACCTGGAAGATGGAATTGAAGAAGGCCAATCAGAGAAAGCACTGAAGCAAAGCAGCAAGGACCTTGTGTAGCTGCCGCTGGGTCAGCTGGCTCCCTTGGCTGAAATGTAGTCCTTGCAATGAAATGAATTTCTGATACAGCCGACTGTTGTTATCCGCCCCCCAACCCCACCCCAGCTCCCGACCCACACATCATTATGCACCGTGGAAGATGAGTCTTATGTGAGAAGCTGTCACTGTTTTCACTGTTTGCCACTGACAAGTATTAGTCAACTAACTGCTGACAGCTGAGGCCATTCTCTGAATGATGAGATTTCACAGGTTTTATTCCCTCACTGTTCTGTCCCCAACTATCTTTATGAGCATAGATTTTTTTCCCACCCTTGTTCACATACACACACACACACGCACACATGGGCACACATCTGCCTGTGTTTTGTTTATTCATCCTTTTTTAGCTAGTAAGTTGAGAACAGGTGGTTTCTTTTTGGATTTGGGATCACCTGTCAGCAGAGAGTGGTGGGGCTTCAGTCCTCTTCTGCACCCCTTGGATTGATAGCATTATCATTGCAATATGTTTACCTCTCAAGGTGAAGAATAGTCCTAAATGCACCCCTGAGGGGCTCCTCTTCCTCTTCCAAGTGAGCCCACTGGCTGGCCCAAGTCATAGCAGGATTCATCTCTGATCTGGTCTGTTGTCAATATACATGGTTATATCGCTCTGGCTCATTTCATAGCCTCCTTAGTCCAAGTGCAGAAAAATCAAAGATGAGGTCCTGGTCAATAAAGCCCTTTTGACCTACTGTTGTTCTTTCAAAATATAAATACCTCCTTTACCTTCAATATGATTTCCAACTTCAGTTTTGATTATGTAACTGCAGGCCTCTTACACATCATGAAAAACACACAATCTCAAGCCAGCACAGTTCTGACTGCTGTCACGATCAAATCAAATTGAAGTTGTAGATAATATTCCTCAAATAGTCATTTTTTATTATTATTATGTTCAATTAGCCAGCACATAGTACATCATTAGTTTCAAATAATCATTTCACCAATACATATCAAGGGTCTATGTAACTCAGGCACTGTTCTGGGCCCTGGGATACAACAGAAAACCATAAAGACAATATCCCTGCCTCCTTGAAGCTTATATTCTGGTGGGGTTGGCAGTGGGGGGGGGTGAAATTCAGAAATAAACAATAAACAAAAACACACAAGATGGTGATAAAAGCCTTGTGGAGAAATGAAGTAGGTAGAAGGAACACTGAGGAGGCAACTTTCCACTGGCTGGATTTGGGAAGGACTCCCTGAGGAAGGGATATTAAATGAAATCTCAATGAGGATCTCCTCACCAGTGGTAGAGCATTCTAGATGGAGGGACCAGATGATGCAAATGCCTCAAGACCAATTTTAGCATGTTGGAGAAAGAAGGTCAGAGTGGCTGGAGCATGATGCATTAGGCGGAACATGATGTAAGATTTGGTTAAAAAAAATCATAGGACCAGATAATGTCTGACTGTATAATATTTGATTTTATTAGAACTACAAAGAGAAGCTAGTGGAAGTTTTGAAGTTTAACAAGCTCAGTTTGCCTGTGAGTAAAAGTGGGTCACAAGAACCAGAGACCAGTTAGAAGGCTATAGCAGGAAGAAATGATGGCAGTTTCTGGCAGTGGAGATAAAATGGATTGATGTGTCATATTCCAGACATAAAGATAACGGGATGTGCTGATGGATTTGGATATAGGGTATGGGGGAAAGAGGAATCCAGGATAACTCCCAGATTTTTAGCATCAGGAACTTTGTGGATGATGGGGCCACTTGCTAATATTTGGAAGACTGGCCACCAGGCATAGTTTTTGTTGAGAAAGTTAATAGTTCAGTTTATTCCATGGTAAATTTGGCCATATGGGATGTCAAGAAGCTAGCTAGTTAGGTAGATTAGATGATGATTCTGGAGAGATGTTGACTGAGAAACAGGTTTGAGATTCACGTGACATGTAAATGAGGTTTAAAATCGTGCTTCTGAAAAAAAATAAAACCATGGTTCTGGGTGAGATTCACTAGAAAGAGCATGTAAATAAAGAAAACAATGGGCGTGAGACACCAAGACATCCAGGTAGGCAGCAACAGAATAAAGAAAGTGTTTCAGAAAGAACAGAGTTAAGACTCTGTGAAATACTACTGAGAAATCAACTAAGATGAGAAAAGAGAAATGACCATTGGATTTGGCAAAGGGAAGTCATTGGCATCTTCCCTCAGAGAATTCTTGGAGGGGTACTAGAGCCAATGGAGTGGGTTATGGAGAGACTATGAAGTGAGGAAGTACAGAACAATAACTCAGACAGCCCTTTTAGGGAGTTGTATTGTGAAAGGAAGGGCAAATGGGAAGATGTAACACCAGGGGAAGGTTAATAGTCTTTTGTTTGTTTTTTTTTTCTTTTTATAGGAGATTATTGCCTACCAAAAGAAAGTGATTTATCCTCTCCAATTATTCCCCTACTAAAAATTTTATTCTCTCTTCCAATAGAGACATGACCTGCAAGTAATAGTCATATGCATTAAGAATGAAAGAGATGCTAGAAAATATGCAGTTTGTCTTCAAATGTTAATTGTCATGGGTGTGTGAGTTCTCTTGAGTTCCATAACCTTGTTACTACATGAAGAATGTATATTCCTTTTCAATCCCTTCTTCAGTTGTCAAATATTAACCGTTCCAAATGATTTGGATAATCCTTCATATATTAAATCTACTATTTTAATGTTAGTTAATCATCTATTATCTTGGAAGCTAGATATGAGTGGAGTCATTGTGGTGCCTATGATACTGAGAGAAAAGATCAACTCTGATGAGGTTCATTGCCATTGTGAGGGGGAAAGGGACCTCCAAGTTCCTTAGCCCCCACTCTGTGTTTGGGTGATGTGAAATCTCCAAATGGCTTTTGGTGCTTTCCTACAAATGATCCCTTTCTCCTGGGCCTCCGCGCTGACAGCCATCAGACACGCTCCCTGCAGTTTGACAGCCTGGCATAACAGAGCAGAAGTGCTGTGCTAAGGAAAACCAGACTTTAAAAACACACACATAAAAGCACTTTGTATAAACTTGCAAGGATATGCTTCACAATCATTCACTAAAAGAAATGCACCATTCTTCTAGAGGTGGGGAAAAAGCAAAATGCCAAAGCGAAATAGGACCAACAAATAGTATTCTTCACCAAAAAATAGTTTGTTGTCATTGGGCTCTGGTTTAACGGATCCTGTCCATTAATTATAAAAGAGAGTCACAAACCCTAAACCCTTCAAAGACCACTCCATGTATTAGAGCATTAAACAGGTTCATACTTCCTTGGTGGAGTGGAGAGAGACGTGACACAGGCAGGGAAACTCCATTTTGACAGTATTAACTCTGAGGCAGTGTTTCTCTTTCTGCTCTGTAGACGGTGTCAGTGCTGCAACTGGGCCCCGCCCTGCTTCAGAAGAGGCCATTGAAGTCTGTAAAGATGAAGGTATGAGACCACTTACTACATCTAAAACTCACAAACTCATAGAAGACCATTTGATTTTTGTTTATATGGGAAAATGAAGCAGTGAGCAAATCTATCTAATTCAAGCACCTCTATTTCCAACCCAATCAAATATTATGCCCACTCTGTTTTATTCCGTATCTGCCCTTTCAGAATTTATATATACGCTTATATTTGTTCCTCTGAAAAGTAACTGTTTATTAAGTAAGAAAAGTAATCAAAGAAATTATGTTCAAGGAAGATTGCTTATTTGAAACACCAAAATTAGGCAGTTCTGCTGTTTACAAGTACTCATTAGGAATAAGTTCAAAGGAGTGGCATTTGGGAACCACCTACCAGGGGGCTCCATTATCCAGACATAACAAGAAAGAAAAAATGTTAAAAGGAATCTACAGAAATAAATCTTTGGCGGGAGCATCATCCCTCACTCTATGAACAGTTACTATGAGAAAATGTTGCAGAAGCAGGTATACCCAGAAGAAGAAAAAAGTAAAGAAAAATCATATTTAGGTTCTAGGAAAAAAATTTGAGGGAGAAATAGTGGGGACATTCATGTGCGGCTGATAGAGTTAAAAAAATATCTGAAGGAAAATGTAATAGTCCTTTCTTTTCTTTCATTCACCCTGATTAACTGTCCCCAAACAAAAAGGTAATATTATTTTATATCTGTCATTGGTAGCTATTAAAAACCACTCTATAGACTAGATTGTTATTTATGCAAATGGACAGCTGGTAAACCCATGCTATCTACTTGGAACTTTTAGATAAATATGCTGAATGCATTTGTTTCAGTTTGGAGTGATATGAAAATAGATCTATACTTGACATCGATACTTGCTATTCCTTGAATCAGTATTAAGAAAATCAAAGTTGTTTTACAATTTTAATACTCAGCTGTTTGCATAATTCATTTCATTTCGTGTTGTCTGGTAAGTGGGTTTTCCTAAATGAGGTGTCCTGCGTAATGAGAGTAGTTGCTAACATTGTGAACTCTGGGGCTAGATGGCTAAAGCTTAAATCCTGTCGCTGCCACTCAAAATTGATGTAACCTTTGACAAGTAACTCAAGGAATTAACAAGTAATGACAGGTAATTAACCTCTTTATGCTTTAGTCTTCTCCTCTGTGGAGTGAAGACAATAATAGTATCTACCTCAAAAAATACCATATACATGTCAATTGCTCTAACTTTTCACCTGGCACGTGTACAGATTGGGCTCCCCAAAGACAAACTCTGTGATGGAGATTAGGAAACAAACATTTATTAGGGAGAGCTCTGATTCCAAGAGCCTTTCCACCTGTGAAAGAGAAAGGGTCAAAGCAGAACTGGATAGAGAGGGAAGTTGAGCTGAAAGGCATTATCAACAGAGGCCACAGCTAGCTGAAGATAGCATGACCCTTCTGAGATGTCTCATCTGGGTGAAAGAGTCAGGTCAGTAAGACCTTCCATTGATAAGTCACCTGAAACTGGGTGCCTTGCGAAGGGGTTTGCCTTCGGTGAGGCAGAGGTCTTCCACTGAGGTAATCCTGGAAGCCAGAGATGAATGAGGGCTGCCTACACCTGGGATAATAAATTCTTCATTCCTATAGGGGGAACTGGGTTGCCCAACAAGCATATACCATGCTGTAATTTTCAGTCGTCCTTTTTTTGATCATTGCACTTTTTAAATGAATCCCATAGCACTTCCTTTCATATTACTCAGATATGTGTTCTTACATCCCTGGTTTTAAAGCCATTTGGTATATCTGAAAATGTAGTAATGTAGATATCCACATAGGTTCTGATAAGAAACACCAGGTCATCTTAGAGAAATAAACCTGACTCAGTCTCAGTGGAAAGACAGAAAGTGGTGTTCATTTTAGGCAAATAATTTTGGACATTCCAGTCATTTAGCTTGTGATAAAAAAATTTTAATGTCATGAAGTTGAATGGCAGAGTTTAGGAAACAAGAGAGAATCTAATTTAAGTACTTCAAGCTGAGATTCTTCCTGTTGAGCTGTTTGGTTTAGAGATATTACACCTTTATAGAAACACACACAAACAAACTGTTTGTGATGTTTCTCGATGCTTTTAGGATCTCACACCATTAATTGCTCATGCCATGATCAATTTCTCAGAATACTTTTTTTTTTACATAAAACTTTTAATGGTGCTGACTCCAACAAGTTCTGTCACATATCACAAATGCAATTCCCTAGTAAAATTAAATGTGAATTTTAAGGATTTTACTGGAATAAATTGTTAATATCTATTAACCTCTTGATCTTGGGGAAGGAAAAGTGTTTTCAAATCCACATTAACATATAATCCAGTTTCAATTAAAAATAGAACATATAAGATAGGATTTTTGCCTCTTCCTTCTGAAATAGCATACACACGAGAACACTGTTTTTGATTATCAGTCAGTACAAAGCTTAGACCAAGTGTCTAATGCATGTGTAACTGGCATCTTGACTGACATATACATAGCTTAGAACAAAAAAGAAATGAATTTGCCATTGAAATCCTCCAAGACTGAGATCAAGTTGAGATTAGAAGGCAGTCACATGTGTTGAGGATTCATTTCAAGCATTAGCCATTATTAGCTTTCATGCAGAAATATATCTCCTCCTTGGTGACACCGGGACTATTTATGAGCTCTGCAGTTATAAGATCGCTTATAAAACTGCTTATTACACTCTCCAGTTTAAGTAGCAGAACATTTTTGCTGACCAAAGACCTGAAGGAGCCCTTGTTTCTTGTTTTTGCTTCCAGACTTTGATCTTGACCCAGCATCTTCTTGAGTTTTGGAATTGCTGATGTTATGGACTGACCTTCATTCTCTCTCTCTCTCTCTCCCTTCAAAATAATTCCCAAAGATTTTGAGACTCACCAGTTATTTCTCTCTTTACTTGTTGATTGGCTAGATTTACATGTATAACTTTGGTTCTCCCAGGAAATTAGTGTCTTCTAAACTGCGAGGACTGAAAACAAGCCAACAAAGAGTGAAACGGCTAATGTCACTTGGTTTGGGCTGTTAGGTTTTTAAAAAATTAAAATAGCTATGTGAAATTTGAAGAATTTCAAGAGGAAGTGTCTTCTGGGGAGTCTTCTGTGCCAGCGATTTTGTTCAAATGTTCTAGACATATTTCCCACTGAGTACCGAGAATGGATGCTTATTGCCCATTTACCCCACATAACTGCAAACAATGCACACTGCTAACTGAAGGAGGTACAGCTGATTGTCTGTTGGATCAAGAGCTAGATTGTGCACTACAGACTGAAGGCACCTGTTCTCAATGACTCATTACAGACCTCGGGTGGGCAGGTGTTGAGTTGGGAGGCTGAGATGTGAGAAGGAGGAATGTTGATGAATAATTCATCCACAGGGTGGGTACATGCCAAGGATGCTGCAGCAGGGACTGAATTGAAATGAACTCCAAGGTAAAACTGGCCTGAGAAAATATCTGTAGGTTCATAGGAGTTCTGAAGTTATTTAAAAAATAGGCATGCACTTATCTATTGAGGGATTTCTTTCTCTACTGGTAAAGATACTCTATTTATTTAATGGTGTTTTTACTTTTTAAAAACAAACCTAAGAGTACAAATGTTAGGGTTTGTAAACCAACAAATGAAGAGGCATTCAGATGAAGGGGAGTATAAACACAGGAGTAAAATTTATGCCAGGAATATCAAGTGCTCTGGTTAAAACTGCTGCAAAGTTTTTATTTTTTTTATTATTATTATTATCCCTATTATTTAAAATATAGTCATTCTCCTTAATTCAAGGAGAACTCTCTGTTCTAGTTGTCTCAACACTCTTAACAGCTCATCCTGACTCACAGCCAAGGCCAAGGCACTTTCCTGGAGGAAAAAAAAAAAATGTGCTGTTTCAACACATCCCAATTCTCCTGTCTTATTATTTAATCAGTACCTAATTTGAATTTGAAGGTCAACTAGACCAAATCATATGCTCATTAATATTAAAAGAAAAATCAATTAATACTCAGGTGCATGCACACCCGAGCTTGTATTCCTTTGGAGCTCTGTAAGTCACATCATTGCTGTTTTGGTGTTAAGAAGTGCGATGTCACCTGGCAAAGGATTTCTTAACCCTTAAACTGGTGGCAGACCCCCTAGATGTGACAATTTCTGTAGAATAAGAGCAAAGCTAAAACAGGAGTCAGCCCTGCAAGGAGAACAAAAGAGAAGGGATGAAGTTATGTGTGAGGAAGCGGATTCGGGCATGTGCAAGAGATGAGAATACATGGTCCCAACCATTGGTTCCCTATAAGTCTGGCCAAATGATGTTGGCTCCCAATGCCTCTGACCATGTTTCTCTTCCTTGTCTAAATCGTTGCAGAGAAAGAAAACATAATTGTTGCAGAGAAAGAAAACATTGTACCACCTATGAAATTCCTCTCAGACTTCTCTGCAGTCTACTTTTTTTCAGTCTTTTTTCTATTCTTGGTGTCTATTATCCCACTACTAAGGCTCCTCACCACTACTCACCGGGGTGGGACAAAGCTGTCCCAGGTCCTGGATCTGCATTGGTAAAGTGTCTGGATACACTGTAACACCCAAGTTATCACTCTTGGATTTTAAGAGTCTGAAGTGTGGAAATCAAAGTCACTGCTCTCTGGCACCTCAGTGAAGGGGAAAGAACTAAGATGTATGGAGTGCCTCTGGCACTCAATGTTTTACATTTATGTGCAATATATTCTTCATTTCACAAAAGGGTAACCTAGGACTCATAAGCAAGAGAAAAAGGTGTATGTGTGTAGCAGGGGACAGGAGAACAACTTTATTATTGTTTACTCCCAGCTGATATTTAAGTGATATTTACATTTAGATAATCCCCCCAAAGATAGTATTTTATTCTATTTTTAATATAACAATTATTTATTTTTTCTGCCTATAAGAATAATATGTATTTATTGTAAAATATTTTAAAACTCAGGAAAATATAAAAGGGAAAAACCTATGATCCTTTTCTCTTTAAGG